TAATCACTCAAGGGATGTTTCTTACATGTGTAACTCGACCCTTTTTAGGAAAGAAGGAATGGGAAAGAGAGTTAGGGAATGGCCGCAGACCAAAAGGTTTTTACCCCTTTACCTACGACTATTCGCCAATCGCTATTAAAGCGGAATCTATTGTAGTTCTGAACTACTTGCCAGGTAGCGTAGGGTTTCCACTTAGCTTAAAGGAACATATAGAAATCATAACGTGTATTAGAGGTCGTCGTTTGTACCATTTCTTTTCATAGGACGTTTAGATCATTATTCGAATGCACAAGTATTCGTAAAAAAGGTCATGATTTCTGTTGCAGCACTCTTAGCAGGTCGTTGTTAGTGTATGACACTACCAGTTTAACATTATTTCAGAATTGACTTATGCGTTATGACTCAATTTGTGCATTTTCTTTGCTTATGTTAGATTCGTTAAATGCATGAAAATATATGTAGAATACTTACAAATGAGCTGATGGAAGAATACGAAAGAATATGAAACTTTTCAACATTCAAATCGAACGAGCGCAGACACTATTCTCTCTCGTTTTACTTATAACTCTACGTTGAACGAATTATAGTCGATTTTAGAATAAAAGATGCAGCAAAGATTATGTTGTTCGAACCGTCTAATAATTTTGGATGAACGTAACTCCATTTCAGACCTTAACGTATCGCGCAATAGATGTAGAATGAGCCATCCATTTATATGCCACACTACGAGCTAACTAAGTGATATGTTACGTAATTAATTCAACATTCATTCTTATAACGTTTGAGAATTCGAGAAAAAATCGATCTATATTTTCTTCACCATGGGAACATTATCCAAAGTATGTAGTATTCTGAAATGCTATAAAGTGTATGTATATCCGACTTTCTCAGCGTTCTGATCCACTCGCCATGGACTTACCTGCATACTGCACACCGCAGTACCGCCACTTACTTACCGTGCTTTGACCATACTGCCCGCCTTTCCCACGACCTGCCAGCGGTAATCTTTCCCATCATACCTCATATCTTCATTTTCAAGTCAAACTTTCGTAAATGCTGCTCTTTCTTTCCATCACCCCTTCTTAGTATAATCGTGCGAGCACGATATACGGCCCACGGAGCGGCTGATCATAAACAAATTAATATATTTAATTAGAATAACATGTTGCAGTAATCAAACCATGTCTACCATGCCGCTCTATCTTCAGTATCTTATTGAACCACTTTCAATAATTTTGAGCAAAATTTAGATGACAAGGTGAAGATTGCTCCTAGTATTTGGCCAGAGAGCAAATTTTGCAAATTAGTGTTGTTTGTCTACGACTAAGCACATATGGCATAGGACTGTAATAAGCCTCACCGGATGATTTTCAGCTTAATAGATACTAAGCCTATCCAAGGTCTCAGTGCAAAAATTGTCATCTACAAAGTCTACAATCACAACTATACCCGCTAACAAAAAATCTACAATCGGCAAAGAGTCCGTAGAGACATCTAAAGTAAACGCAAAGTAAAATTGGTGCTCAAAGGCTGCCTAATACGCCCAGACTTAACAGAATATTACACAATTTTGACTCAGATAATACGTTTCTTCCTTGTCTGAATAGACTGTAGCAGCTAAAAAAGCACATATCTAAAGATTGTTTATGCCTTTTTACCACCAGTGCGTTCCTACAACTGGAGCAATTGATATGCGGTCCAACTGTTTGTTTCCTTTTCGAATTAAAGCGAAGATAAGTATGTAAGACTACAGCTCCGCTTGAAAATTTTTATTCGGTTATATGAAAATTATCTTTGAACTATATTTTATTGTAATTATCGTGAGGAGAATGTAAAGAAATTACTTTAAAAAAATCTTTAAATCCTTTTGCTCCTCTTTGTTTATCTCGCCTTAAGTATAAAACTTTTAAAAAGAATATGGAAAGAATGAAATTTTAAAATTAATTTCTTAAAGTAAAATGATGTAGTAAAACACGATTATAAGCAAAGGCAAAATTTGATTACTACTATTAAATATAACAAATTCAATATATAATCATTACTATACATATTTTAGGTGATCCTTTCGCTCTCCTTAATTATTATGTATTAGGTTACATTAACGGAACTATGAAAAAAAATTATACTCAAGATGAATGTTTAGCATTAAGTAATTATAAGGCAATGTCTAAAGTGAATTATATATATATGTGTGTGTGTATGTGTACAGTTGAAATATCTCTAAACACAACCTGAAAGATTATAATAAATTCCAAAATGGTTGGATAGACTGCCGACTGAGCGATTAAATAAATGTTTATATGCTAGTAAAAAAAAAAGACAAAAATAAAAAAAAACGTTACATAAAAGCATTAATTTAGTCATTATCTGCTTAAGATTGGCAGGCAGCACACCCTAATACACTCAAATACAACTATCGCACAGGCAGGCGCACACACATATATTCAGGCGTATGTACTTGGCCCCCCCCTTTGAAGAAGAGCAATAAGGAAACTAACGGTAATATACGGGGTATACTGCTTAATAGATTGAAATGCGCCAAAGTAAAAGAGTGAGACCGACTGAGTGGGATATGAAACGATATGTTTACTGCACTTACATCTTGACTTTATTTGAATAAATAATCATTACGCGCGCACACATAGTTAGGTCAGATAGAAAGTATGCAAGCATCGCTTTCCTAAAATGCTTGCATGCTACAAAGTAATTTTAGTTGTGCAAAATATTGCTTCGACCAATAACAGGTTAAAGTTAATTTTCGTTTCATTTAGACGACGGAATTCATTATTTATCCATTTTTTTCATCTATTATTTAGCCGTAGATCAATACATTCCAGTTTTATAATTAATCATTTTATTGATTGCTTACTGATTGCATTCCCTTGAAATACTGGATTCTTTCATTTATTATTTATTCCAATAATTTGTTTATCCAATTTCAAGTTTCAAGTGTCTTTCATTATGGTAATCACCTTACTCACTTAAGTGATTTTGTAAGTTGCATTCATTTCACTCATTTCGTTCGTCGTCGCATCCATATCGCTTATTTTATTCACTTCCTATATTTCATTAATTTTGTTTTCTTTCATTCATTTTTATCATTCATGTTATTCATCTCAAGAATTTTATTCGTTTTATTCATCTTATTCGTTCCATTAATTTCATTAAATCATTTCTTTTCCATCATTTAATGATTCTTTTCCTTCCCTTCCTTGTATTCATTTCATCAACTTTATTCATTTCGTTAATTCTATTCGGTTCATTCTTTGTATTCATTTCATCAACTTTATTCATTTCGTTCATTCTATTCGGTTCATTCTTTGTATTCATTTCATTCATTCCATTTTGTTCATTACATTCATTTTATTCGTCTTGTTCGTCGCCCTAATTTCATTGAATCATTTCTCTTACATCATTTGACGTTATTTTCCTTTCATTCATTCTATTCATTTTATTCTTCGTATTAATTTCATTAATTTTCTTCATTTTGTTAATTTTATACAATCCGATCGTTCTATACATTTCCCTAAATACATTCATCTCACATATATTTTATTCGTTTTGTCAAATTCTTTTATTTCTTTCCAATAGTTTCAATTAGTTCGTTACCTTCATCTCATTCTCTTATTCAGTTAGACTTGCAACATTTTCCTTTAACCTCTTGCTTAGGATTTAGATTTTCATATAAAGTTAATATGTAACAACAATAAAAATTTATAAACAGCAATCTGCTTATCAGGGTTATCAGTCAAGTTCTGAATGTATTAGTCGCACGGTCAAAGAGCGCAACTCGCAAATCGGCATACGTGCAGCGTTCAATTCCTGGTACGATAGGTCGTAGCATTAATCGTACAAGAAGGTTGTTAATTAATTATCTCCACTATAGAAATTAGTTATCGCAAATCTCTGGCAGCTAAAGCTAGATTGATATAATTATGATAAGAAAAGAAACCTATTGATAAACATAATGCCTGCTCTGCTATAAACGCATTTTTGCAAACAAGAATGCCTTTGATTATTCTTTTTCCTTTCGTTTATACTTTCTATCTGTTTTGGCTGTTAATACTTAAAGCATATGTTCGCGTTATATGTGAGAAAATAAGAAAAAGAGAGAAAGTAAGAGTGAAAGAGAAAAGCATTCGTGGGTACGAAATGGTCACTATATAAGATTTTACTTACATAACGCCCTCCCCCATATATATATATTTATATATATATAGATATGGGGGGGGGGGGGGGGGATAAAAAATAATGACAATTACTACCACGACAAAAATCGAAAATGTTTTGGGTGTTAAAGCGATTACGTTGGCGCATCATTGCAAACGTAAGTCTTCTTGCAACTTAATGACCGTATTAAAGATACTCGCATACATATAAATATAATAATTATACACACACACACACACACAAACAGACATTCACATTTAAGTAAACATTTCTATATACAATTCATTATTAATGAATCATTGCTTTTACATATAAATAGTGAAAAGGCGTCAACCAATAATCCAACCCCCTTGTAATCTAGCCAAGACTACTTGTGCTTACCGATACCGGAGCGTGTCGGCAAGAGTAAGAGATTTCTAAACAAACGAAGAGAGATTGATTAACTGAGAGCGAGAGCAAAATAAATATATACAATATTTTCAATATGGAGTCGATTCGTAACGAAGGCGTGACTACGCTCTTACATGAGGTTGTCGTTCAAATGGGTAGTACTACGTTGTGTTTTTAATTTAATGGTTAGTACAACTAACATAACTGTTTCGGATTTCATTCAAGAAAGTAGTGTTTTTTTGCTCATTACGTTGTGCGTTACAACTAAAGCGATTATAGTGTTAAACGATAAAATTTTTAGTGATTTAAAGTTCATCCTATCGTGAAAGATAATAGAAAAAAACTAAACGAAGAGTAAAGGAAAAGAAAAGAAAAAAATAAAGAAAATATATAAAATATAAAATCGAAAATCTAAAGATCTTGTGTTGTGAGAGATACGAGAAAAAAAAAACCGTCAAAATTCTGTCATCATTGTGGAGCTCTCCAGGCCAACTTGTTGGTAGTCTGGAGTCGAAATCGACGGCTTCCTCCAAATTTAAAATTACGGTGGTAAGCACACCCAGTCCGTCACCGCCACCGACGCCACCGTTAAACGTCGGTCGATCGTCGCACAATTTAAATATGGTCGAGTCCACATCACCACTTATGGAACGCGCTATTAAACGTTGTCCATCGAGCCCGTTAAACGATCAGCATATGCAGCAAAATCAATTGCAGTCGCAGCATCAACAGTATTTACATAATGGTTTTAATAACAACAACAATCAAAGTAATAACTGCCAAAGTCCCCGTACCCCGCCAACACCAAATGCCGCCTATCTTACTACGGCAATGCTGCTAAATTCACAACAATGTGGCTATTTAGGGCAACGCTTGCAATCGGTTTTCCAGCAACAACATCAACAGATTCACTCGCAAACGCCATCCTCAGACGATGGATCCCTATCCGGCGTTACAATCATCGAGGATGAACGTCCGCCACGACCTTCAGCCGCTGGCAATACAGCGACCGCTGCTGCTGCAGCTGCTTCTCTTTTCACTATAGATAGTATATTGGGTTCGAGATCGCAGGTCGCAGCAGTTACTACGGCGAACACTTCTAACCATAACCAACTGATTAACATCAGTAATGGTAAAGGTTCGGATTCACCCGCCTCGCCGAGTTCGAATTCCAGTTCAGCCGCCACTAGTCCTACACGTCCTCAACGAGTACCACCAATGCTGCAGCATCCCGGTTTGCATTTAGGGCATTTAGCTGCTGCAGCCGCAACTGGCTTTGCTGCTTCACATTCGGATTTCTTAGGTAAATTTCACAATTACGTTCACATTACGCGCACACACACACACACACACGATCGCGTCTAAATTTAGTTACACAAAGTTGACCTTGTAATATGATATGATTTGTAAGTAAATTAAAACATAAAACTTAAAGTTGCTTCGATTAACTAAACTGCAGCTTCAACAACCACTAAGAGGATTAGAAGTTTTCGAGTACAACAACAGCAGCGAGAAATGGAACTGAAATATAAGTACTTTCAAGTATTAAAAGGTTAAACATCACAACAACATCACAAAAGTCGTTTGGCTTTATCATAATAAGGTAGCGGGCGTTACATTAAATCTAGGCAAAGCCTTAAGTAATGTTGTTCCATTTGTTTAGTATGTCTGCGTGGTCTTATTATTTTCTTTACCTTTCAAAGCATTACGCAATACACAGCTTATTCAAGCGTATTAAGCGGCAATAAGCGTTGAATCGTAAAAGATGATTTGATTCGTTCTGACGTTAAAGTGGGAGAGATTTGCATTCCGTGTTTTATTCCTTTTTGTACTTTCATTTAAAAGTGTTTCAAATCTCAAACAATCAAGCAAACATTTGTTTGCCATTAACCCGGCCTTAGGATGACTTAAATGTAAATATAAAGCTTAAGTGGTAAAGAAAAACAAAAATGAATTGAATTTTTATATAAAAACATTTTTAGTTCTTCGTTATCATATTTTCACGAAACGAAAACAAACAAATATCATGTTACTAATGAAAATTCATATATATGTACGTACGATAAAAATAGAATACGTTGAAAACCTTTACATATTTTTACATGAGAGAGAGTTTTATTTTTTTTAATACTTTCAGTTGCTTATCCCAACTTTTATCCAAATTATATGCATGCCGCGGCTGTGGCACATGTGGCTGCTGCTCAAATGCAAGCCCATGTTAGCAGCCATGCGACTGGCTTAAGTCATACGCATCCCCATCATCCTCATCATCATTTGCATCCCGGTCATCATGGACATCATGTGGCGACTCATTTAGGTCATGGACCACCGCCGAAACGAAAACGTCGACATCGCACAATTTTCACTGAAGAGCAATTAGAGCAATTGGAGGCGACTTTCGATAAAACCCATTATCCGGATGTAGTGCTGCGCGAACAATTGGCTTTAAAAGTCGATTTAAAAGAGGAACGAGTAGAGGTAAGTGAAGATAAAATTTCCGCTTAAATTAACATAGAACTTAAGTTTATTGGCCTCATATCATTTGTGTCGGCCTAAATGTCAGGAAGAATCGAATAGAAGAAGTAGGTAAAAGAATAAATGAAATATCGGATGAAACTTTTCATGATTTGGATGAAACATGATAGAAGGGAATTACATGACTTCAATGAACGAATTACATGAAAGCACTGATGATTGATATAAGAATTAATGCTTTATTGGAAAAGTGAATAGATAAGGAATTATTGAGATGACACGAGTAAATGTATTACAAAAAAAAAAGAGCGAATAATTGATGAATGGATAATGTGATCGGAATGAATAAATAAATGAATGAATAAGTTATGAAAGAATTAATCACGGAGTGAATGAGATGAATGCGTCAAATTTGTGAATGAGTAAATAAATGAGTGAGATAAATGAATAAGTAAATGAATGAAAAAGTGATGAATGCGTGACTTAAGTGGAAGAATGATGAAAAGAATTATGTGAACGAGGCATGAAGGAATTAATAACAAGAATGAATGACATTAGTGAATGAATTAATAAATGAGTGACGTCACATCAATGAATGACATAAATGCAAAAAATAATTGAATGCAGAATGACGAAGTAATTAATGGTATGAATGCATCACAGGAGACATGTAATGAACTAATGAATGATATCACATTGATATTGTTAGTTAATATAATTCCGGATTGCGTGGGATCAGTAAATGCGTTAATGAACGACTAAACAATGTAAATAAGCGGATGAATTAACGGCGTGGTATAAGTCATTGGCTTACAAAAATGATTACGAATTTATGATATAACTTGAAGGAATGAATGACATAAATAAGTGATTGGATGCTGAGAATGAATAAACGCACTAACATGAGTGAATAAATTACGCGAATGAGTGAAAAATGATGCATAAGTGACATAATATCATAAGATCGAGTGAGTGAATGCCGTGATATATGAATTAAGATCCTAGTCAACATTGAAAAGGGATGAGGGTGAATCTTAATGAAAAATACTACATGAATGTTGACTTTTCAAAAGCTCAATATTTCTTAGACTACATACAAATTTGATTTCCCTAATTACATTACTAAGGTTTAAGCAGAAAGCGAACTGACTAGAGAGTGTCCTTATTTCCGAGACGTATAAATTTTTTTTCAATTATTCTGTTCGTTTACATTTTGTTGAACGCGCGAAACCAATTGAGTGCAGTCATGTGAGAAAAATATGTTGTTTGTTTAGTTGCGCTTCAAAATCATTATGTGGTTACCCATTAACTTGTTAGCTGGCTATACATTACAAGCATACATGTGCCACATAACTAACATGAATATAAAGATATTTATGCAAACATATATATATATATATATATATATATATATATATATATATATATATATACGCACGTACACATATGGAAACAATGATGATTTACTTAATTTCTATGATTTCTTTTACTATCACATTCATATGAAAACATTCAAGAGGCAAAACATCATATATCCAACCATCCATCCATCCATCCATCCATCCGTCCGTCCAGCCATCCATTCATTCATACATTCATTCATCTATCGTTTTTCATTTAAAATAACAAATGTAAACAAAGTCGGTTGTTTGAGCGTTGGTTTGATGATGTTTTTACTGCATTATATACGCCCCAGTTGTCTAAGAATCTTGCCCTTCGGGTTATACTTAAGCTTCGTCTTGCTTTCTTTTATATTATTAAGCAAGCGACCGAGAACCCACCCTTTAGACTAAGTGCCTTACTGTGAAAATATTTTTTCTTTTTTTTTATCACAAATATACATAAATACATGCAAAATCTTTTATGGAAAATAAAATAAATATCACTTCAGCGTCATCAGAACAAAAAGGAGAAAAAAAAAAACAAAAAAATATTAAAGAAAAAATGTAACGAAATCTTTTAAAAGCATCATCATCACCATCGACCATTAATGTTAAGGATATGTCAACAAAATAAAAGAAAAATAGGCCACAGAGGCAAATAAACACAAAGCTAAACAAATTGTATTCAAATGTTGACAAATTTTAATTTGTTAACATTTATTGATAATTAAATTGTACCCGGAGACGGTATCACACAAGTCGATCATATCCGTTTTTGTTATGTAGTTATAAGGATTTACTAACGGCAACGACAACAACAACAACAACAACAACAACAAAAACAACGTTAACAATTTGCAGTATAATTGAAGGGGTTGACACTTGTACGGCATATTGATAAGACACATGAAACGTAAGTAGCTTTCGTGTCACTGGCATTCACTGGTGGCTGTTTTGCAATTCAATGTTTATATTAGCTAGATTTAGTTCATGATTTGTTGGCACTAAATCCAATACAACAACATACTGCGGACATTGGCTTTGCAATTAACATTATTAGCAAAGCAACGGCAGCATTAGATGAAATCTAAAGTTAAATACCTCACAAGCATGTATGACATAAGTGTATGTATGTGCGCACAACTTATACATTATCCCCACCCTTAGGCAGCTTTTCGAACTTAAATACCACCCAAAGTGTGTTTTGGTCACATTTATACGCATACGCATTATGCCATAGTGGGCTGTAGGGTACGTGTAAATATTTATGTGCGCTTGTATGTGTATGCGTAAATATCAAAGTGCCAATGCTAATAAGGTGTCTTAAATGGGTGTTAATATAAAATAGCCTTTGGGGCAGAAACACCAATTACGTAATAACTTTGTCACCATAATATGACATATTATAAATACATTCATACCTACGTCAGAGGAATGTAAATGAATTTGCTTTCTTAAAAGGTATAGAAGTGTACTTTTTTGTGAAAATGAAAAATGCAAGTTTCTGTTAATGTTTTTCTAAATTAAATGAAAAGTTGTCTAAAAAATACGACGGTTTACAGTCGTTAGTCATAAAGTAATGCCATGAGATTCATCTAGAGCTGTTGTGAAACCAAGTTGGGAACATTTATGTGAAACTGCTAGCATAGAAGTACATTATGTCTTCATCATGTCTTAAACATTTGTTTTTTTTAGTTACGTGAAAAGTATAAAACCCACTCACAGAATGGTGACTCGTGGTCTTTGCTAATCTTCTTTCCTGCTAAGGTAACATTCTTCAGAGAATCTTACTGACACGAAAGCCAATAATAACCTGGCTTGTCTCAAGCTCTCACCTCGATGCCTTAAAACTTGTCAATCAGACTTTCTCTCTACGTATGCGCTTTCATGGTATGCGACACTTGTTCTGTGTGATTTTTTCTCTTTATTTCGCTCGATGCAGTCACTTTAGAAATCGATATGGAAGATCTACGAGAATCTGATCTTTCATGTTTCCCAAATTGTAGCTTGCAGGTTCTCTCTCTCCTTTTTAGTCATACTCGCATGTAGTTGGGATCGGATATTCAAGCGATGTTTTCTTATTTGCAGTCGTATTCTGGCGTTATGATCGATTACTAATTGTAAGCGAGAGCAATGTGTTTTCCTGTCTATTGGTAGCTTTGCATTAATTTTTATATTTTGGAGGTATAATTATAGGAAAACTCCTCAATATATTAAGTTTGTTATAAAGCATAGCTACTAAGTAATAAAAATCACAAACCAAAAAATGCTTTGTGACTTTGCGATCATTCGATGACGCTCGACGTAAGCGCACCATATACTATAAAATTTGAGGATATTTATCTTAACTCCATTTCTATTAAGCATGCAGCACAGAGCTCTTTTTAAGCAGATTAAAATCTTCCAGGGTAAGAATGAGCCCTACACTCTATGCCACGTTATAAGATACGATGGTTAATCTATTTTCGCTAAAAAAAGGTCACGAAAGATGAAATAAAAAATTTTACGTTATTGCTGCATAAAGGGTTACTTGTCATGAGAATTCTCCTGCAGTGAGGGGCTTGAAAATTACATCTATGTAATCCAAGCTTACGTGAAATCATCATTTTGTACCGACTCTGATAATGAGTTATTTACGGTTAAATCTGGTTACTGTTGTTGTGAAAATGTTTATATGACAGATGATTCAAGAGAAGGTTTCAAGCTTTTCAAACTCCATTCTGCATTCAATTAGTACGCTAGACTACAACTATTCTTCCGAGCCGAGCAGCCGAGAATTATTAAAAGTGAAAAAGATTTTTTTTAGGAAGTGACTTTCAAAAAAAAAAAAAATGTTTTTTATGAGAAATGGGCTTAAAAAGTATTCACCTCAAATGTCTCGAAAACTTGCCATTTATGTTAAAGATTGACAAGCTAGGCAAACATTTAGACATATAAGATTAAATCAACACGGAATGCGATTATGAAATGAGAGGTCTAACTGAATGTGGATCCATCTCAAGCCCTACGCGTAAAAATATAGGCAAAATTAAGTGGTGCTTCTTAGCATCTAAACAAAGGTCTTTTGAAATTTATTTCGTCTTCTTCGAGTTTTTTTTCTTTAAACAAGGATAGTGGGTATAAAAGATTTGGCTACAGGCTTACTTGCTTTCACTTGCACGTCTACATAATAGATATTAGAGGAATGATTTCAAGTAAATTTAAGTTTGAGTAAAAGCAAAAGTTTGTTTGCATGACGATGCTGTGAACTAATCTTTTTCGTTGCTTAAGTTCACACACTTATGAATAAATTTTCGTTGCGTAAACAAGGCGTTTGTGTACGTTGGTGAAACGATCTTAATTTTTTGCAATTTGTTGATATAAATATGAATAATAGCTTCCCTTTTTCAAATATATACTAATTAGCTGCACCTTCAAAAATTCAGTCCTAGAATAGTCCTAGCAAAACCAGATTGAATCTCTTTCGGACAGACTAGATAAATTTCATTTCAAAGCTTCATTTTCGTTGATGATTCATAACACAAGCAAGAGTATGCTTTTTGGTAAAACCGTTGTTTAGTTTAAATATTTTCCGCTCAGAGAAATGCACAAGGATTTCTCATTCAAAATGCGTTTTTATAT